ATCACCTCACTCTTCATCTCTGTACACTTTTAGTTACAGTATCTAAGCGCCCAGTGGGTGTCGAATATTATTGAGGTAGAGATAAGGACCCAAAGCACTGTGAAAATGCAGTCAGAGAATAACTGTCAGATAATCACCTGGACCCAGGGCCAAAAGCCAACATAGCTGGGTGTATTGCTTCCTTTTTTGGAACACGGTAATCCAATTTCTAGGAATCATCCATTCTCCATAGAAATACTTGCACGTGTGCTCAAAAAAGATGCATACAAAGATGTTCATGATGAGAACTGTTGTCACAGAAAAATAATCAGAAACCACCTAAAGTTTCATCAACAGGAAAGTTGAAACAACCTACAAGTCCGCCCATATAAAAGAACGTTAGGCACTGTTAAACAGAACAAGATGGCTCAGTCTCCATTAGAACACATATTCCTTACAGCCAGGGAGTGTTCCCTGGTTGGTTGTTTGTTTCTGGGATGGAGTCTCACTCTGTCACCCTAGCTGGAGTGCAGCGGCGTGGTCTTGGCTCACTGCAACCTCTGTCTCCAGGGTTCAGGCAATTCTCGTGCCTCAGTCTCCTGAGTAGCTGAAACTACAAGCACCCACCACACCCGGCTAATTTTTGTATTTTTAGGAGAGACCGGGTTTCATCATTTTGGTCAGGCTAGTCTCGAACTCCTGACCTCAAGTGATCCACCCACCTTGGCATCTCAAAGTGCCAGGATTACAGGTGTGAGGCATCACACCTGGCCACCTTGGGGTATGTTTATAAATTTCCACAATAAATATTTTTAAGGCACACACACACACACACACACAATTGGAATATTATACACCAATCTGTTCACAGTGATTGTCCCAGGTAAGATTTTGAAGGATTTTTTCCTCACTACATATGTGATGGGCTATAATCTAAATGTTTGTGCCCCTCGCCCCCACAAAATTCACATGTCAAAATATAATTCCCAGTGTGATACTATTAAGAGGTAGGACTTTTAGGGGCTGGGCAAAATAGCTCATGCCTGTAATCCCAGCATTTTGGGTGAATCACTTGAGGTCAGGAGTTCAAGACCAGCCTGGCCAACATGGTGAAACCCTGACTCTACTAAAAATACAAAACAAATTAGCCGGGTGTGGTGGCAGGCACCTATAATCCCAGCTACTTGGGAGGCTGAGGCAAGAGAATCACTTGAACCTGGGAGGCAGAGGTTGCAGTGAGCCAAGATAGTGCCATTGCACTCCAACCTGGGTGACAGAGCAAGATTCTGTGTCAAAAAAAAAAGAGGTAGGACTTTTAGGGAAGTGATTAAATCAAGAGGACTCCATCCCCATGAATGTGATTAATCCCCTTATAAAAGAGGCTGACATTGGGTCAGGCACAGTGGCTCATGCCTGTAATCCCAGCACTTTGGGAGGCTGAGGTGGGCAGATCATGAGGTCAGGAGTTAGAGACCAGCCGGACCAGCATTGTGAAACCCTGTCTCTACTAAAATTACAAAAATGGGCCGGGCACAGTGGCACGCACCTATAGTCCCAGCTACTCTGGCAGCTAAGGCAAGAGAATCACTTGGACCTGGGAGGCAGAGGTTGCAGTGAGCCAAGATCGTACCACTGCACGCCGGCCTAGGTGACAGAATGAGATTTTAGCTCAAAAAAAAAAAAAAAAAAAAGAGGCTGAGATTATCCTTAGCAAACTAATGCAAGAACAAAAAATCAAATACTGCATGTTCTCATGTATAAGTGGAGCTAAAGGATGAGAACACAGGACACAAAGAAAGGAACAACAGACACGGGCCTACTTGAGGATGGAGGGTGGGAGGAGGGAGACAATCAGAAAAAAATAACTATTGGTAACTAGGCTTAGCACCTTCGTGACAAAATAATCTGTAATAAACCCCCATGACAAGTTTACCTATATAACAAACCTGTACTTGTACCCCTGAACGTAAAAGTTTTAAACATAAAGAAAAAAGGCTGAAGGGATCACATGTGCCCCTTCTGCCAGGTGAAGATGAAGCAAGAAGACACCATCTTTGAAGTAGAGAGCCATCACCAGATACCAGATTTGCGGGCACCTTGATCTTGGACTTCTCGGTCTTCACAACAGTGAGCAATCATTTTCTGTTGTTTATAAATTGCCAAGTCTAACGTATCTATTATCACAGCCCAAACAGACTCAGACATACATTTAACCTTCTATATTTAACTTTGCATTATGTATTATGTTTGCAATAAGAAAGAAAAAAAAAGGCGGGGCGTGGGGGGGCCTGGGCGCCCTGGCTCACGCCTGTAATCCCAGCACTTTGGCAGGCAGATCACGAGGCCAAGAGATTGAGACCATCCTGGCCAACATGGTGAAACCCCGTCTCCCCTAAAAATACAAAAATTAGCTGGTTGTGGTGGCACCCACCTGTAGTCCCAGCTACTTGGGAGGCTGAGGCAGAGAATTGCTTGAACCAGGAGGCAGAGGTTGCGGTGAGCCAAGATCACACCACTGCACTGTAGCCTGGCGACAGAGCAAGACTCCATCTCAAAAAAAAAAAAAAGAAAGAAAAAAAACTACTTTTCAAAAGTTATCATTTGCCCGTTAGTGCTAAAGTTGTAAATATACTGAAGGTTTTGTCTACAGCAAATATAGCTGAAAGGGTAGCAGTACAGCTACTGTCAAATTGTCAATACCAGCCCAACTTTGACAATTAGCAACACTTTTCTGTGCAGGTTTTTTTGTTGTGGTGGTGGTTTTGGTTTTTTTTTTTTTGGTGGGGGGGGCATTGTTTTGCTTTTTGAGACAGGGTCTCACTCTATCACCTAGGCTGGGGTGCAGTGGCACAATCTTGGCTCATTGCAACCCCCACCTCCCAGCTTCAAGCAGTTCTCCAGCCTCAGCCTCCCAAGTAGCTGAGACCACAGATGTGTGCCACCATGCCCCAGCTAATTTTCGTATTTTTGTACAGATAGGGTTTCGCCATGTTGCCCAGGTTGGTTTCGAACTCCTGAGCTCAAAGATCCATGCACCTCAGCCTCCCAAGGTGCTGGGATTACGGGTGTGAGCCACCGTGCCTGGCCTTTGTGCAAGTTTTAATATCACACTGCTGTTTATTTTTTACACAAATTATCTGATACTGTGCTTAATGTTTGCCATTTATTTTGTTCACTGAGCAATACACTCATTCAACAAGTATTTATCAAAGACCTAACATATGCCAGACACTGTTTTAGGCACTGGGGATGTAAGTCTAATTAAGAAAGACAAAAATCCCTTCCCTGGTTCCCAGATGCTCGTTCCCTTCCCTTCCCTCCCTTGGCCCAAGGTAGGGGTGCTTGTGCTGAGGACATCCTTCAGAGCTACACTCTGTTCCATTTTCTCTAACAGTCTCCAAAGAAAATCTCCATCCCTATGGGAAGATTCAAAAAACCTGGGCAGAAGCAGCTGATAGATCCTTCTCTACATGGAAAAGCAAAGCTTACATTCCAAAACAGACACTCAAAAATGGGGGAAAAAAACCATACCAATGTAATCACCCATTTTCAATCATGGCCTCTTAACCAGTCCCAGGAGACCTCTTCAAAAATATGAAACATTTCCCTGGAAGAGGGTTCTATTAGAAAGAATCTACATTCCACTAAACCAAGTCTCCTGATCACTGAATGGTTCTAGATAATTCACTGCTGTTAAGTAACCAGAGGACAATCTCAAGACTAATGAAGGTGCCTGCAGATGGCTCAGTAAGCTAGCCTCGTCACATAATTTCCTTCCCCTCCCACTCCCTACTTAAAAATTTAAATATTCACAAAAAGAAGGCAGGAGCTTATTCAAACAAAAACAGAATGATGAACAAATACGTCAAATACATTTTGAAGACATACAATATATTAAATGTTGCTGAGGTTCACAGTTTAGATTCCTGGATAACATTTATTGAGTGTCTGCTGTGTGCCAGGCAATATGACTAGTCTGGTCTATCCATTAACTCATTTGATCCCAACACAGTTTCATTAGATATACATTATCCCCACCAGGCACGGTGGTTCATGCCTGTAATCCCAGTACTTTGGGAGGCTGAGGCAGGTGGTTCACTTGAGATCAGGAGTTTGAGACCAGCCTGACCAACATGGTAAAACCCCATCTCTACTAAAAACAAATACAAAAACTAGCTGAGTGTGGTCGTGCACACGAGAATCACTTGAACGCGGGAGGCGGAGGTTGCAGTGAGCTGAGACTGTGCCACTGCACTCCAGCCTGGACAACAGAGCAAGACTACACCTTTTTTTTAAAAAAAAAAAAGGATATACATTATTCTTGTTTTGCAGATGAGAAAACTGAGAACAAAGTACCTGTAAAATATTGAAGGGCATTATAGTGAACATATGCTGACTTTTTTCTACTCAGTATCCCCAGCTCCTTTGCATAACCATGTGCTCCCCTATCCCATGAAGTCCTGGTAAGCACACTGCCCTGACCCATTTGGGCACTCCAACAAAACCGATCATAATACCTCACCTCCTGGCAGGCAAATGACCAAAGCAGAGCCAAGTTAGAATCTTCCCTGGGACTGTATTAATCTTGATAATGGAAGGTAACAATTAGGCAGGGTGGGGTAGCCAGTCTCCAAAAACAGTGTCCAATGCCTGTGCCTCTTGGGATGCATGCCTTTGTGTAGTTTCCTCTCAGGTGGAATCTGGGCAACTCTGGAACATGCATCAAACAATAGAGTGCAGCCAAAGAGATCCTATGTCCCTTCTAGGATACACCCTAAGAAAGCCTGGCACCTTGCCAGGCACAGTGGCTCACGCCTGTAATCCCAGCACTTTGGGAGGCCGAGGAGGGCAGATCATGAAGCCAGGAGATCAACACCATCATGGCTAACACAGTGAAACCCTGTCTCTACTAAAAATAAAAATAAAAAATTAGCCAGGCGTGGTGGCAGACGCCTGTAGTCCCAGCTACTCAGGAGGCTGAGGTAGGAGAATCACTTGAACCTGGGAGGCGGAGATTGCAGTGAGCCAAGATCATGCCACTGCACTCTAGCCTGGGCAACAGAGCAAGACTCTGTCTCAAAAAAAAAAAGAAAGAAAGAAAAAGAAAGCCTGGCAGCTCCTACTTTTGTGTTTTGGAAACTCCGAGCTGCCGTCGAGGCCGCCCTGCTAGAGAGACTGTGTAGCTCAGAGCTCAGCAAGCCTTTTCAAAAAGGGCCCAACAGGAAATATTTTGGGCTTTGAGGGTCATTTGATCTCTATCACAACTACCCAAATGTTGTTGTCGGCAGGGCACAGTGGCCCATGCCTGTAATCCAAGCATTTTGGGAGGCCAAGGTGGGAGGATTGCGTGAGACCAAGAGTTCAAGACCAGCCTAGGTAATCTCACAAGATCCCATCTCTACAAAAATTTTAAAATTAGCCATTAGTGGTGGTATGGGCCTACAGTCCTAGCTACTAAGGAGGCTGAGACAAGAGGATCGCTTGAACCCAGGAGTTGGAGGCTGCAGTAAGCTTATGATTATGCTGCTGCACTCCAGCCAGGGTCAGACCTTGTCTCTAAAAAAATAAAATGAAATAAAATGCTGTTGTAGTGTCAAAGCAACCGTAGGCACTGTACAAACAAATGGGTATGGCCATGTTCCAGTGAAACTTTGTTTACAAAATCGGCATTACAGGCTGTAGCTCCTTGACTTCTGATGTAGAGGTCACATAGAGGTGCTATCTGGACAGCAAACGCCCTGAGACTTCATGAAGAAAGAGCGAGAGGCCCAGCTGGGCCCAGCCTCCTAGCCAGGGCACCAAACACTGAGTGAGCCCTCGCAAACAGTCCAGGCCGGGAGAGCTCCAGGTGACTGCAATTCTGGCCAATGTAATACAGAGCCGAGGAATCCCCAGCTCAGTCCAATCAACCTACAGACACGTGAGAGGTAATACAATGACTTTTTTTTTTTTTCAAAGATAGAGTCTCACTCATTGCTGAGACTGGAGTGCAATGGTGGGATCTTAGCTCACTGCAACCTTCACCTCCCGGATTCAAGCGATTCTCCTGCCTCAGCCTCCAAAGTAGCTGGGATTACAGGCACCCACCACCACAATTTGCTAATGTTTGTATTTTTAGTAGAGACAGGGTTTCACCATGTTGGGCAGGCTGGTCTCAAACTCCTGACCTCAAGTAATCTGCCTGCCTCACCCTCCCAAAATGCTGGGATTACAGGCATGAGCCACCACACCCAGCCACAATGACTATTGTTTTAAGGCACTAATATTTAGGGTGGTCGGTTGCACAGCAATGTTGTACAAGGCAGGGTTTCTCAAATTCAGCACTCCTGGCATTGTGGGCTAGATAATTCTCTTATAAGGAGCTGCTTTGTGCCCTGTAGGATGTTTGGCATCATCTCCGGCCTTATCCGTTAACGGACACTAGGACATCAAAAACATCTCCAGTGGGCAAAAATCACCCACTGGTTGAAAAACACTAATGTCAGAATGCGAAACTGGGACACCAGCAGCCGACCACCCTATCACATGGAAGTCAAGCCAAGTCAGAAACAGGGTGAAGGCCAGGCCAATATATGACTTCATAGTCCCAAGGGACTTTTGCCTTCCTCAGCCCCTTCCTCCATTAAAAACAAAAAAGAATTCAAAAATTATATTTTATGGGGCCAGCACGGTGACTCACACGTGTAATCCCAAAGCTTTGGGAGGCTGAGGCAGGAAGACTGGTTGAAGCCTGGAGTTTCAGACAAGCTTGGGCAACAAAGTAAGAACCCAGATTTACCAAAAAAAATAATAATAATAAACTGGGCATGGTAAGTGAAGCTGTAGTCCCAGCCACTGAGGCAGAAGGGTTGCTTGAGCCTACAAAGTTGAAACTGCAGTGAGCCGTGATATGCCACTACACTCCAGCCTGGGGCAACAGAGCAAGACCTCGTCTCCAAAAAAAGCAAAAATTACATTTTATGCCTACATTGATATAAAGATGAATGTCATCCAGAATCATTATACATTATTATGTTCATTTTTTCCTATAATTTTAAAACAAATTAAAATTTAATTAAGTTAATTAAAACTAATTAAATTCATTAAAAGTAAATATCACAGGTCCTAAGCACCAGGCTTACTCTTCTAATAGAAAGTCAGTCCTGAGTGAGTATAAGGATGGGGCCAGGGCACATTATTGAGATTTCTGGAACCAGCCATGCCTAAAGCTAAAACTTAACTCATTCCTGGATTTCTCAGTTTCATGAGCCAGTAAATTCACTCTTTTATTCACACAGGTTCTCACTCTGTCACCCACACTAGAACGCAATGGTACAATCACAGCTCACTGAGCCTCGACCTCCTGGTTCCGGTGATCTTCCCACCTCAGCATCCTGAGCAGCTGGGACCACAGGTGCAAGCCACCACCCAGCTAATTTTTGTATTTTTTGTAGAGATGGGGTTTCACCATGTTGCCCAACTGGTCTTGAACTCCTGGGCTCAAGCGATTCACCCACCTCAGCTTCCCAAAAGTCTGAGATTATAGGTATGGGCCACTGCACCTGGCCTAAATTAAGTCTTTGAATTGAGTTTGTCACTTGCAGCCAAAAGCCCAACTCACCTGGTGTCCCAGCTACAACATGTGCAGCCTGAACTTGAACCTGGATCTGTCTTATATAGACCACAGTTCTTACCCACTACTATCAACTAACTCGTTCTGCCTCAAGCATCTTTCTAGTTTTCGCTCTCAGAACAGTTTTCAAGAAAAAGTTCCCCAAACTTACACTTCCGGACAAAGTTGCTCACATGCTTAATCTTCATCAGAGCGGGCTGACTGCACTCTTCAAAGAGAACAAAGAGGGCATCTAATATCCCTTCTCGGGAAAGAGGAGACATCTGCTGTTGAGTCATAAAGGGTGGTTTCCCCTAAAAACAGCAAACAGCAGATGGAGACACTGTCAATAATGAAAAGCTTTGATCAATAACATCCACACAGAGTAATTACAAGCCACCAACTCAACTAACTGCTCACGACATGCTAACAGCACAATTCTGTGGCTTCATTCCTTAAAGCAACGTCAACTGACAGTCATTATGGTAACACTTCTATGATTCCAGGTCTGTGGGTTTCTTTCACCAGCACCTGGGAGGAAAAACTGCACAAGCATGGCCATTAACAAGAAAAGATCCTTCGTTCCTAAGAGTCTGAGGCTAGCGAGAATATTTCCTCTGGATCCTCTGGCTCTGACATGCTTCCATGTTTCTATAATGGGAAACAATGGTTTTTCACTTCTTTCATGTGTGCCCAGGGGTTTATTCCTATAATTTCAGCTTTTTAAACACATTTGAACAACCTAGAGTATTGAGAACTGAGTGACTATCATAAAGCCAAATTTACTCATGATCTGGAGAAACAGTTACAAACTGGCAGACTGTCTCTAGCCCACAGGCATGTTTTGTTTGGCCTGTAGTGTTTAAGATAATTTGAATTATCTGCCAATATTTCAAAATCAAGAGATTCCATACAAAAAATAAAAATGGAGTCTCTGGCTTCTCTCGAAACACTGGCAGATCCAGCAACTGCCTCACCTTCCTGCCTGATGATGCTGGGCCGGAGCTGAGTAATGCTGCCCCTCCAGGAAAACAAAATTGCTACTGTATCTCAAGCAGATGTGTTTTGGCGTTCACTGCAGGTCTGACTCCATCTTCCAACTGGCCCGCTTGACTCATTTATACTCACTGCCCGGCACCCACAGACACAAGTTTGCAACCCTGGTATAGAAAAGTGATCCCATGTGCCAAGCCATGGATTGCGTGTTCTCTCTGCAAAGATGGCCTCCAGCTGTTTCTCCAATTCTGTAGGCACATGCTATTCCTTCCTTTAAGCACTAGAGTCTATTTCTCCTCCCTTTGAATCTGTTCCATCTCTGAGGCTCTCTTCAACCAAAAGAATGTAACACAAGTGACACTGTGCCAGTTCAGGGCAGTGCCTTTAAGAAGCTTGCCAGCAGCTGGGCACGGTGGCTCACACCTGTAATCCCAGCACTTTGGGAGACCCAAGCAGGTGGATTACTTGAGGTCAGGAGTTTGAAACCAGCCTGGCCAACATGGTGAAACCCCGTCTCTACTAAAATACAAAAATTAGTGTGTGTGGTAGCGGTGCCTGTAATCCCAGCTACTTGGGAGGCTGAGGCATGAGAATCACTTGAACCCAGGAGATGGAGGTTGTGGTGAGCCAAGATGGCACCACTGCACTCCAGCCTGAGTGACAGAGTGAGACTCCCTCTCAGAAAAAAAAAACAGCAGCAGCAGCTTACCACCTGCCACTTTTGGGAAGCCAGCCACCATGCAAAGATGCCTGGGCTAGACCAAGTGTCTGCAATCTATAGCCCTTGGGCCAAATCCAGCCCACAGACTTTTTATAAGATTGACTGAAACACAGCCACATCCATCATTTACATATTGTCTATGGCTACTTTTGTGCTGCCATGGCCAAGTGGAGTAGTTGCAACAGAGACTACAGGACCTGCAAAGCCTAAAGTATTTATTTATTTTCTTCTTATTTTTTTTGAAACAGAGTCTCACTCTGTCGCCTGGCTGGAGTGCAATGATGCAATCTCAGCTCACTGCAACCTCCGCCTCCCGGGTTCAAGTGATTCCCCTGCCTCTCAAGTAGCTGGGACTACAGGCACGCACCACCATGCCTACCTGATTTTTTTTTTTGCATTTTAGCAGACACGGGCTTTCACCATGTTGGCCAGGATGATCTTGATCCCCTGACCTCATGATCTACCCACCTTGGCCTCCCAAAGTGCTGGGATTACAGGCGTGAGCCACCACACCCGGCCTAAAGTATTTACTACTTACAAAGCTATGAGTCATGGGCTACACTACTGAAAGCCCTCATGGAGAAGAGAAGCCACGTGAGAAACACTAAGGTGCCCCAGCCAGCAGTCAGCACCCACATGTTCCAGTCCCAGACATAATCCCAGCTAAATGTAGTCCCACAAGTGACCCCGGCAGATATCACAGGATGGAGCAGAAGAGCCAACTAGCTGAGTCCAGACAAACCACAGAATCCTAAGAAAAAATAAATCATTGTT